ATATGAGTCCGAGATCGGAACCCTTTTATAATGAAAAAGTTAGTGAAAAACGCTTGTTCCTTGCATCGCAGAAAGAAGTCGAGGACAAAGCTGCCGAATTAAAGGACGTTATAAACGCACTGGAGGATCTGGCCATGAAATATGACCAGAAATGCAGCGCACTGGATGCACGAACCAAAGAACTAGACGACCTCACAGCTGAGTATGAAACCCTCAAAAAGAAGGCTGACTCGAAAAAAACGGTGGAAGCCGAAGTACGCAAAGCGACCAACGAAGTAAAGACAAAGATAAGCGAATCGCTGAAGGAACTTATCAAGGAACTCTATGATGTTGGCGTCTTGATTGCTCCCGGCTTGAAGGTTAGGCTTTGGTCTCCCTAAATTGAATATTATTTTCTCTGTTTATGCATATAATTTGAGAAATGGTGAAAATACCGAGAAATCGAAGGACCTACTTTGTAAACTAGTCGAGATCATTATGGGCTTTTGTATCCGCTACGGTCCTTTAATTGCATTATGCAGACTATTTTGTATTTTTCTTTAACGAATAAGTGAAATCATACTTAAATGGATGCTCTAAATAATCCACCCGTAAAATTTGCTGAAATAAAAATTGTTTTGAAAACGCGTGCAGTGACAGTGGTACCCACTGAATAATTAGAGTCTAACATCCTGTCTCTTGGCAATTCTAGGCTTCCTTCCGGTGTGTAGACGAAAGGTTTGTCCTGAAAATTTATTGTATCCTCCCGGCGGCAGTGTTTGCCACCAAAGCAAAACACGTTTTGGAAAGGGCCAATTATTTTGCTGTGCAAAGTGTAGTTCTCGCGCGAATCTACTAGACATAGCATACGATAGGCAGAGGAATATTACTAACTAGCGCGGAAGCCCGGCTTCGCCATGGCTTCCTTTCCCATTGTTGTCCCTTATGAAGGACAAGGGTATTAAGGGAGGGACGATCATAAGTGGGGTATTAATAAGAACCATAAGGAAGACGAAGGTACAACCATCAGACCAACACTCCATGCAAACAACATTCTTCGAAATCCCGTTAGGTGCCCAGACGTATAAATTCCGT